TGAACCACATGGTATTTGGTGTCCTTCTACTGTAGTGTTGCAAAGATGTGTTGTTTTTGACTCGCAAGAATGATATTTGGCGTCCTTCTACGAACGAGAGTCCCCGGCAAGCCATGTTTTTTTTTACGACATCCTGAGCCCCGGATGTTTCGGATCCGAAAGGTGAATAGAAAAAACCGCCGTGGCCTGGCAGTGGCTAGAGATTGGATTCTCCAAACATATACATGCATATAATTACATCTGCAGGGCTTCAAATCGTTCCTGCTCAGGCCGAGCAGCTCGCGAAGCGCGAGCGGGAACTGCACATTAAGGAGGTGGGCTACCCGCTACCCAGCTCACATGATGTCCAGTGGCAGTTGTCCAAAGTTCCGATCTCGGGAAAGTGGGGCGTTTGATCTGGTTTTGGGGGTGGGATGTTGACCAAGCCCGAGCACACAAGCCGTCCAAAGTTTTTGGATCAACGGATTTCTGGACCTCGCCCAAGTGGAGTAGAGTGGCCATAACTGGGAGAGCCATATGTACATGGACGGTTCTGCAGAATGGATGGCACGAACAGGTCAATCAACCATGACCAGCGGGAACTTCCTGCCGGAAAATACGTCATTGACAGCAACTGCCGGTAAAAGATGATGTCACTTTTTTGGGGGAATGGTACGCCATGGAAGATTCACATGGAACCTGCAAAACCACTGGGATGTAGAGGAAAAGAGTCTTCATTACATATAGTCTTACAAAGGTTTATTTTCAGGTTCCATGTTAGTTTTCCCAGGTGTAAGTAATATTCAGCATCATAAACATCATCGTCATCATCATCATCATCATCATCATCATCATCATCATCCGCCGTTACTGGCAATGGGATGTACGTATATAATTATTGCACTATACTGTTATTGAGAGGAGATTGACCATTTATATTGTAATCCAAGGTTTGGGTGCATCTCGTAGTCAGCGACTGTGCCTCACACTGTCAGGTTGAAGTTTCACATGCCAGTCCTTTCATGGCTTGGCAAGTTTGCAGTAAGAGTAGAAGGCCGCTCTATTCCTTTCTTGAGATAGTTTGATCTAGCATCCACACGGGCGCCAGCAACTTTTTGCAGAACAAGCAAGAGAACTCGAGCTGCTCCACTGCTCCCGCAAATCCCGAATTTCAAGTACCATCTCCACTACAAAAGTGACGAAGCCTCCCTTGTCCTCGAATTCGCATGGCCCACACAAGGATCTTCCACCATCTTCCACCCGTCCACCGCTGATCGACCTTCTCAGCCTTGTTTGGGGGATCGGTACGAGGTTTCAAACACCTCGGCGATGGTTGGGGGTGCAGGTAGGGAGTCGAACATGTTCCTACTCAGCCAGGAAAAGTGGATCACCTGCCCAATGAATTTGTTTTTTTTAAGGGGGGCATTGTTTTCCCCGCTAAATTCCAAGAGGTGGCAAAGGCTATAGCCTCTATAACCACCTCAACGGCTGGTTAGCCCAACCAGTGCATTACCAAACGGCGCAAGCGTCACATGTATAGCAGGTGCAACTGAAAGCTCAAGCAGAGGCGCACAGCTTGGTCGATGGAGTGAGTCTCCAGCGGTATGTGGGACAACAGGAGTTGTTTTTCCTTCGCACTGTTCTGTGTGGTTGGAAACAGGCAAAGTATAGCTATATCAGATTGTTGTATTGCTTTCAGTAATTTGAAAAAGGATCCTGTCAATTGTCAATTAGTTCACTCGGCACAATGACAGTCTCTTCAAGAATTCCAGAGTGGCCAGCCACCGCTTAAAAGGATCACACCCTTTGTGGAGGCTCGTTGATGGGCACTTGCTGCACTTTTCTAGTGAACACCTGGCAGCACACCGTCCCTGGCAGTCGCCAGGAACTCCTTGCGAAGAGACAAAAAGTGGAAGGCGAGGACTCCTTGTTCAGAGGGCTTTCGCCACAGTGGGCCATGCATCGCCACGGTGGGCCACGCAGCTGCGCGATTTAGAGCATGGACACCTGGCTCAGTAGATTCTAGGAATTCCATCATGGTCAGCTGTGAGTCCACAAAAACATGTGGCTAAGTGGCCGAGGCGTGTAGTTGGTAGAGGTTCGGTTTGGTTCCCTAGCTGCTTCTTTCTCTCCATTTCAGGGGAGCTGTCGCAGCGCTTGGAGGAAGCCGAGGCGCACCGGGAGGGTAAGGCTTCTACAACTCCAGACTCTTCCAACACCCCCAAGACGACGCCCCGGAAGGTTAAGATGGAACCAGATGGAACCTGAAAACCAGTGGGTTGTAAAGGAAATCAGTCTTCCAAAGTTTCCAAAGGTCCATTTTCTCAGGTTCCATCTTAATCTTGGAGTGTAGACTCCCGTGTCTTGTGGCCATAGTTGTTCTGGCGGCCCGGCAGGGCCCGACCGATCACCGGTGGCAGATCGCAGCCGGAGGAACCAGGAGTTCATTCGGCGTGTTTTTGTTGCGGGCTCCAAAGAGCCACTGGCGACCAGCTTTTTTAAGTGGATCCCCCTGAAGCCCAGTTATTGTTGTGTTTTAAGGGTTTTTGAGCTCATTGGTGCGCGACTTGTCGTATGCATGTATTTCATGCCATGGCTGGTGGTGATCGCAAGACTTCTTCTTGTCTTTTGAAATGTGTGATCGATGAGCATGGGTTAAAATAGTGTGGAAATGTCTAATTGCGGAAAGAGCTTCTGGTCTGAATGGGATGAACAGACACCTGCCATCAGACTCTTTATCAAAAAAGGCAACCATATTCAGTATTCCAAGGCTCCAATGTGACATTCTTATTCAGCCAAGCTTGCTGAAAGTGGAACATTTATGAACCTTTAGAATATTTATATGTGGTGAATGTGGACTTGTGGACTCTTGACTCTTGATTAACAAACCCCACCATATGTAAATTTTACACTCCAAATGGGGGGGTATTAATCAAGAGTCTACCTTAATCCGCATTCCACTTATTTATGTTTGCTTTGGACTGCCAGAACTTACCTTTGTTTCCAGGTCAAGAATCATGTCAGATTCAATCAAAAGATACGATCCACCAAAAATGCCCAAGATATTTCTTCATGGGGGACCCCCCCAGACCAAACGCAGTGGCGGGATTGCTGTAGTTGCTTAGAGTACCTAGAGCCCATTTGACCACCTTTTTTTGATAGGATAGGACCATATTTGGGGCCAGTTGTGAATCTCCATGGAGTGGTTGAGGGTGGGTGAAAGCAGTGGCTGAGGCGCGCCATGCGAAGACACAGATGATGTTGTCGGAGTTCAAGGTCGGAAGGAAGAAACGTCGGACGGCGGTCCTCGAGATTCTGCAAGACTTCCTGTCATCAAGTGAAACCACAGTGTTTTGCTCACAAGGACCATGTTTTGTGCGTACTTCTACTTGTTGGATGCTCTGACTCAACACTACCAAGACCACAGCCAGACAGTTGGCCCAGGCCAATTTCCAGCAAGCGCAGGCGCGTGCGCCAAGCGTCAGGGGATGCGATGCGGCACTGGTTTGGGGATTCACATGGATCCACCAATCTTCTGTTTGTTATGTATATACAACATATATATTAATATATATATATATATGTGGGATGTTGAATTATTCTACTGGGTGAAGGGGGAAGGATTGAAGACTTTGTTTGATACCGTTCTTTTCTTTATTCATGGCGTGGAAATTCGAAACCGGGAGGGTTGAATTCTAATTCCTGCATCCGTCAGTTCCATTTCGTGTGGTGTAGCACTTCCACCACTGTTGTGCAACACTTCAAGCATGGCACATCACGTAGCAAAACATCCAACAAACCACCATGTTTTCCCTTTGTGGGCGATGGGTCAAGAGGTTTCACACAAATCAGGTGGCAACACCTGTTGTCAATCCAGAGTAGGTTGTCAGACAACTCGCCAAGCGATTCCAAGGCGCAACGATCACTCTGCCCAAGCAGAGATGCCAAGGGACCAATCTTTGGATAAATATGTTTCTCTTACAAGTTTAAAGAGACATATTGGGATTCCTAGATCTTCACTTCGAATTGAGTCCAGAGTTTCTCAACATGTTCATGCCAATCTTTCTCACTTGCCTGGTTTTGCCGCGCAAGCGCTGGCAAGTCACGTCCTTCACGTACCCTGTTGGTCCTAACGGGACTGAGCATGGCAAGAGAGAGGGGACTGACAATGGACGCTCAGGCCGAATCCATCAGACGCAGACTATCCGATGGAACTGGAAACATATAACTGTACATTTACCCCATCTAATCTACATCCATCTACTCTCAATCCACTATACAATCGATTTACCATGAATTCATGACCCATGCCACTTCGTCCCCGACCCATGCCGTCGTCCCATGGCGTTCGTTCCAGCACCGCTTCAACGGTCCGATCCCGGTCGAACGAACGGCTCCTCCACCGGCACCGAGGAATTCCTCGGTGTCTACAGACTCGTGCGACTCGTAGGGAATGAGGGAATGAACCACCCCTTTTGGCCCTCTGGATCCATTCCCATAGTCCCTACGAGTCGCACCAGTAAGTCTATGTATAGCCATGTATAGCCATAGAACAATGTTTTCTCGGGGGGTCCAATCTAGGAAACAACCGAACTTGGAAGATTCTAGCTGCTCCGAACGAAGTTGCAGGGGTGGGCCGCATCTTCTGGGCAGTTCATGGCAGTTCGTTCGCTGGTGCTGATCGTGGTGTTTCTTTGGAGCCAACGTTGACCCTAAAGAAGTGGTCCCAGGGTTCGAGGGGGCCGCTTGATCAGTTTTAGAGTTCTATAAAGAAAACGTGGCAGCACTCAGCACTGCACTCTCCTTCACTATCATCAGCAACATCGTGTTTGTTGTTGCCAAGTGGCAGGCTCCATACTTTTGTATCCAAGTGGTTTGGACGATGCGAATGTCCTATTTGGACAAGCGCTTTTGCATGTGTGTTCGATCATTTTTATCGATACCATTTCACAAGAGGCAGCAATGTTAGCTGTTGTGTGGTTAACCGACAAAAGCCCGTGGAACTTCCAGTGAGTTAGAGCGACCGCGAAGTCGACGCAACAAAACTTCAGCAAAGTCCACGAGACAAGAGCCATGCCAGCAACTTTGCGGTACATGCTCGATGAGGCGGGGCAGATTTGCTGCTTGTTTCGTAGTCGTAGTGAAAGCATATATTTTTTCACGACCGCGATGGTAAGGGGGTTTGTCACTACCTTCTGAGGATGTGGGACAGGAGCCCTAGAGTATAGGGCCGCATCAAACAAAAGCTTTGCTACTTAAAGATGTCCATTGCTGGCGCAGGCTTGGTGCCCGTGTGGAACCTCAACATTCGCTCAGCTAGACCACCCAGTCCATCCACAGCATGACACCCAGTCGTTACGGTAGGCCAGCGGTTACGGCAGGCGTTTGCATGCATAGCGTATGCATTGAAGGTTGATTACAAAGGAAGGTTGCAGTTCTCCCACGGAGAGGAGTTGGAATCTACCTGGCCTTCGGCTTGGTGGTTTTGCTTGTGATTTTTATGCTCCCTCTGAGTGAATCCCCTTCTGAATAAGTTTTGGTTCCCGCTTCCTTCAGAACAGTAGTTCTGGAGTTGAAAGGTTGAGACGATGGCGGCACCCACGAACAGTTCAACGGTTTCACATCTAGAGTCTGAGATGATGTGCTGGGGATAAGCTCATAAGCTCAACAAATCTTCGGAATTCTTGGATCTCGGAATTGTGTTTTATGGGTTCTTGTGTTGTCTAGTGCGGACATTGATTCCTCAAACTGATTGGTCAAGGCATAAGGTGCTTTTGGATCTGTCCTCAAACTGGCCTCCAGGGACTTTCGGACCAGAAATGCCTCATTTTTGGGTGTCCGAAAGCTGGAGCCCTGGTCCACCATGTAGCGAACGACCTTCCGGGTTAAGCACGGTATCCTGGTTTTGACCCACGGCCATATGGCAAGTATTTGTTTTTGACGTGGAAACGCAAGGCAGGAGAACTTCAATTGGCACCTGCTGTAGGCTCCTCTCAAGCCTGTTATGAGTTTAAACACCATGGGTACCATTTGATGGGACATGCTGACAACTCCCAATCCATGCGCCTGTGGTATTTATTTGGTCTTAACCTCAAGTTATTTTGTTTTGGCTTACATGATCTTACCTTATGAATCTATCGATCGACTTTGTTTGCTTAGTTTTGTTCTAATTCACGATTTCAACGATAAACATGCAAAAACGATATATCTTCAGCATAGCCAGCTGCAAGGTCCATTGGGCCAGTGCACCGTGTGCGAATGGAACCTGCCTCCTTCTTGGAGGCTGGAGATGTGGCCGTTTTTGCGTGTATTGTAACTGTAGTTGTTTCCTTAGAGCAGCTCTGCAGGCAAGGCAAAGATCAAACTTCGGATGGCCTAGACTGTTTTGCGTGATTGGTAGATCCCCACTAGATCCCCTAAAGTTCCACATACCTTCTCAGAAGGTATGACTGGACCCTCCGAACCTACATCAAAGTGTCGAACACATCACTGTACCTCAGAGGGTGGCAGTGGACCTGGTCGATTCTGCGCGTTTCAACCTTCAACAACACTCCTAGATCTCATATCCCCAGACACGACTAATGGGACTGGCATATTTACCGATCAGTTGGGGTGGTTGAAAACGGGGTCCATGTAGGCATATATGGCAGTCCCATGGAGTGTCTGGGATCAATCCAGCGGTGTTGTGGGAGGAACGGCCAAAACACCACCGAGACCGACCACTACCCGGCGGTCATGCTACGGAAGCCGGTCCCCGGTCACCCTGTAGAGCGGGTTCCGTGAAGATCTGCCAAGGAACCCTTCGATGCGCGGGGGTGAAATGGTTGGTCTTTAGGCTTGCTATCGGATGGACACATGGGGGAACCCAGCCATCGAACATCAATGAACATCGGACACGGAATGAACACCCCAATCCACGCGATTCCGGTGGTGAAGTGATTATAAGTTTCACCATGTCTCATGTCCTGTTTCACCAGGTGTTATTGTTATTGTTTTTCATGGCCACCTCAGTTGAACATGGCTTTGACCTCACAGATGCAGAAATTCAGATCACCACCCAGTCTCGGTGAAGTGGTGGACATCGGGAGATGTTGGCGGGTTCAAAGTCCATACTAGACCGCTGATTGTGAACCTGGGAGGTATTGCTATTGGCTCACATTGAAAGTACTGACTTGCTCCAAGAAGCCCAAGACCAGACCAACTTCTATAATCTTCTACAGCTTTAATAGCCGCGAGAATGGTACTTCCAGCTCTTGTGCAGTTCGTAGACTACGCAGATATTCCGTGTGTCATGTCTCTGAGACTCAGCAGGAAAACCAGTGCCCGCAGCGGTCCATTGCAACGCCCTCCGCCCTGGAAGAGGCAGCCGCAGCCGCTCCGCCGCTTGCTCCAGCACGAAGAAGGAGCAGCTTTATGGACGCGCTGAGTGTTTTGAGACCCAAAGGCGCGGACGAGCACCGAGCGTTTGCGTGTCGGCCCAAAGCCAGTTGCCGCCGAACGAAAAAAGGGGGGGGGCGAAGTCGGGAGAGACTTGACTGGTCCCTATTAAAGCACTTGAAGCGCTGCCACTGGCAATGTTACACTGGTCTAGGGCCCTAGGGATCCAGTCGTAACTTCTCAGGTACGGTGATGTGCTCGACACTGAGACCTGTAGATGCCAAAAAAGTTTCCGAGATCGGATGAAGGACGGTGCCGAAGAAAGCGCCGGAGTTCGGACCATCCATGGGACTGGCTGAAAAAAGACACAGATTACTTGGGAAGGTTGAAAGGGGCCAGGGGGGGAAGTGAATGTAGAGGGATATAATCCCCCTACAAGGCCTACAAGTCCAAAGACCCAGTACAATGAGGTCATTGACTTGTAGGGTCAAAGACCCATGGGTCTATGTATGGGGCGAACCGTTTTTCCGTGAAACTCCGAAGAGATCAGCGAGTCGCCAGTAAGCCGGAGTCCAACATCAGCTGTCATGACTTCGATTGTGGGTTGGAGTCGGACCTCTTCAATTCGTGACCCCCAGTAGCTGAGGTCACAAACAGAGACTCCAAAGAGGTCACGTACTGAAGGTCCTTAAGGAGTGCTTGTTTTTAGGTTCTGACCTGCTTATAGATACACTTCCCAACCGGAGGACATGCGTTGTCGTTCAATGAAGTTGCATTCATTGATAACATAATTCATCGAGTATGCCTGAGTATGCATATAATCATAGATCATAATAGATTTCCCTCCATGAAGTTTGCAAAAAGAACAACCCAATCTTCAATTCAAAAACCCAACCCCAGATACATCCTAAGCTGCAAATAGGTTCGGATCAATACTGACGAGCGCAACAGTGGGCTGTGGAGTACGGAAGACCTATTTGGGGCCATCACTACCTGTTCGCACCAACAAAGGAGTTGCACATGATGATTGTTCTGTTCATCCTCCGTAATGGACTTCAACCAACAACGCCGAACAAGAACTGAGCAAGAAGTGCCCTAACGCGAGGAGCCTAGGTTTGGATAGGCGGTGAGTGCACCGAACAAGAGAACAACAGGTGGTTTGGGGCGTTGGCATGTGGCTGTGGGTTATGGCACCTGGACACCCTGGTTTGTTCCGACGAATGAACAGAATAGAAAGCACCGCATGGGTCCGGGTGGGTTAGAAGACCCACAGTCATGTGGTGAAAATGTCAGGACAGAACTTGAATCTTTGCCCTAGCCTTCAAGGACGATTTTAAACATGTTTGATCAGGTTTTGCAGTGTGAACTTCTTAGTATAAAACAGCTGGTTCTTTGGGATTCAGACCATGAAAACAACGGTGCGCCCTGAACCCTAGGGTTTGTTTGCCGACTTCTGCCTCGGCAGAAGCAGCCGAGCTCATCGAGGTCCTTGAGATTGCCAAGATAAGCAGTTTTGTTTATCTGTTTGTAATGTATTACATTTTGCAATTTTGTGCCGTTCTGCACATTGTTGATCAGTAGAACCCTCAATGCCCTCCTTCCACCGCGACTCGGGCTCTATATAAAGGTCAGCAAACCCAGACGTCTTGGCTGCTCAAGCTTTTGTTTGTGAAGAGACTTGAGACGTCTAAACCTGTCTATGTTTCTTTACACCAAGCAACGACCCCCTGGAACGTTCAGGAAATAGACCAGTCTGCCATAGTCTACCCAGCCAGCGCTATAGGGGGCAGACCCCTCTTTAGCTACACAACCACTCTCAGTGGACCAAAGACTTGACCACGCCAGGCCTGGATGAGGCGTGGTCCTTCACCGCAAAGGGGGTCGTGGCGTCTTAAGACCCCGCGGCCGACACGTGCCATCGGGTGAACCAATGCGTTCGCCACATTCTCCTCGGTGAGAAATCCACTTCCATGATGACTTTAGGGAGTCTCTAGGTCGATTTGTGCCAACCCCGTGCTCAGTGTAGGTCTATTTGTAACGAAAGTTGGGGAACTTAGCTCCCTAGCAGCCAATGCAGGTTGTGATCCGCACCGTCCGAAGCACTTGAAGCTGCCACTGGCAATGTTACATATCGCTAGGGATCCAGTCGTACCTTCTCAGAAGGTGATTGGAGACACTCTTATTGTAGGTTTTGAGGGTCCAAGTACCACCTTCTGAGAAGGTACTTGGATCCCTACTGTAGGGGTTACATATATGGACAACAAAGCAAACGATCAACAGAGAGTGTGGATGGAACATCTATGAACTCCGCCACTGCCAAACCGACGCACACATATCTAAGCATCGATCATGGCTGGTCATGGGGCTTGCAAAGTAGATACGATGTGCGGTTGATATGGCATGATACGGTCACCCTTTGTCCAAACATTGAAGGGCCGAACATTAAGTTAAAAACGAACGATTCGAAGTGACCAGCGGGAAGTGTCCACTTCCATGTTTAGCTCGTAATTGTTAACAATCCCGCATATTTTTTGGACCTCTTTGTCGCTTTAACCACTGAAACGTGATGTGATTTGCACAAAAAGGAGTCATTCGGAGACGTCGAGTCGAGTGCGTCAAGTGTTTCGAGTGCGAGGCGAGACCCTGAGGTGTGATGACTTGAGGTGTGATGAGGTCGGCACTGTCCACCTGTTTGTATACTTCTTTCAGCTTTTGCGTTTCTTTCCCTATGTTCATAGAGTTGAACATAGTTGAAACTTGCAGATATATATAGATCTACTCTCACCTAAGAAACGGACAAATTGGATGCCTCGGAGATGAGTTTTCTCGACAAACCACCACTGGGTGGTTGTGCCATTTGGTTCTTTTCCACAAGTGGGATTCTCACAAACGGGATGCAAGTCATCGCAGTTCGGCATATGTCACCCTTTTTGCATGTTACTAAAAGTCGTGGTGTTTGTGTAGTTACCTGGGTTAGATTTGTGCTTAACTTCTCAAACGTTGCCAACGCAGTGATGTTGCATCGATCTACGCACTTCGTTTGAGCTATATATGTTCTTTGGCCCAGCTATGACGAGCCTCGCGACGTAGTAAGTATGCGGATCTCCTGGCCAGGTGCAGCACACCGAGTACGGCGAGCCCTTCATCGGGAATACCGACGCGGGTGAAGTGCCCGGGGTTGGTGCGCCACTCGGCTGAGGTCGCCACCCCAGACGCCACCCATGGGACTGCTCATGAGACTGCCGCCCCAGAAAGACCCCCCCAAAACCACCCCAAAGATTCACCTAGAGCCTGAGTGGCCTTTGTTTTGATAGGAAACGACTAACGACCATATTTTGGATAGTTGACCCTCCAAAATAGAGGTCACTCAGGCTCTATAGGCAGATATAGGTGCAAAAGAAGGTTCTGAATCCAGACATGACCTGTTTGGACTGACATATTTACTCAGGCCAAGCGAGGTTTGAGGAATTGAAGAGACATCATACGGCATCTACGCAATACGTGGAGTGTTTGGCAGATGTTTTGTCTCTGACCGACCGGCCCCATGCTCAATAGTTGTTGTTGAATCGAGCCAGGTTCGATCCTGGAAGACTTTTGAGAGTCTTTCACCATTCAGAAAACACATGCCATCCAAAAGTTTTGAGAGGCAGGATCCTGGAAACATGAGGCATCTGACTCCATCCACTCTGGTTTCCCGCATCGGCCTCGGCCGAATCGGCGTGGAGTCGTCACGAGTTCTGAGAGGGAGGGGAGAAGCAGTCGACACGTTTTGATTTTCTTCCACATCGTCCTGCAATCCTCATTGAGTACTGTTTTTCGGATGTTTAGGATCAACTTACTGTAAAAACAGTTGTATTTCTCACCTGTATAGGGTAGCCCAGATAGTTCCACACCTCCGCCTCGCGGAGACCCGAGCTTTGACCGGACCCTCCACCGAGTGATGCACGGGGCTCCAGCCGTTATGGTGTGGCGAACGGGGCCCGCATTCTCAAGGCAAAGGAAGATCAGAAGAACCCGAACGTTCGACTATCCTATAGTTACCCCCTGGTGACGGGTCCGAACGTTCAGGTGACCTGTAGGTCCACACGAAGCGAAGTCGTCTCCCTGCCGCCGCGGAGCGCGACGCCGACGCGTCGTGTCGCTCGCCTCGCCTGAGGTTTCAAGATCTACGGGCCCTGCAGAAGGGCGGCGCCGAGGTGGGCCGGTCGACGTCCCAAACCACCGGGCCGCCCGGGCGTTTCCACGGGCGTGAAGAGACGGGTGGTGCGACCGAGGAGTCTTTCTTTCGTTTTGCTTGAGTTTAAAACTTAAGAACCGGAATCTGCAGAGTTGCTTGGGTACAAAACTTGAACCCATCGCCAGATATCACCAGATCAATTGAGTCGTTCAAGTTTGCAGAACTACTTTGGTCGTGCCTGGAACAACACGGCAGCACAGTGGCCAAAAGGCAACGGATGTGATTCTTTGACTTACCTTTTCAGAATTGGTTGACGGGAAAGTCTACGGGAACCCCATTGGGCGGTGAAAACCATGGTTTTCCTGTAGGTCTGTAGGTTGTCCCTTCAACCAATTCTGGGATACCTGCGGCAGAAGGTCATTGAGTCTCAACTTTTGGTGAAAGACTCTGCACCAGCTTCTTTTTAGTACCTGACCTTTTCTTTGTAAGGTTCATCCAAATTGACAGGCCTGTTTGTAAATGTTTGTGACCCCTGGGGCATCAAGTTCGGTCACGGAACCAGGTGGAATGTGTTTTGTGCCCTTTAGCATCCCTCAAGAAGATTGAAGCCTGGGGAAGCTGCCATGAACGGCAAACAAATAGTGGACAAAACCAAGAGCTGAAGACATTGGCAGAGAACCTGGAAGGAAGCTGCATCAACAAAAACTTATGAGTCCAGCAACTCTCTTGTGTACCCCAACCTTAGGTCCGCCTTTTTTTTCTGATCGACGAGGGCATAGTCTCGAAACGCGCAAAGACAAGGGTGACCTTCCTTGACTCAGGGCTTCTTGAAGAAAAAGATCAAGGAGGCCCAGTGGGAGAGTTGGAGCTGAGCGGACGTTGTTTCTTAAACTCCCCAGGGATCCAAACCTACATAATAAAAGTATGTCTCCAATCACCTTCTGAGAGGGTACTCGGATCCCTATAGGGACTCTTGTTACGTTCTTTGGACGGGAACGAGGCGATGCGGAGATGCGATGTGACTTTGATCACCCTCAGACTAGACCATGGGACTGGAAGAGTGGAATATCAGGACTCGGACACAATGACCAAGAAGGGAAAGAAGAAGGGAGACAAAAGGAGACAGAAGGGAGCAAGGCAGACACAGTGACCAACAAGAAGGGAGACAAGACACGCTGTCCCGCAGCAAGGCGGACACTCTTAGAAAGCATTGAGAACCCCTGACAGTAACCTGTTTGGGGAAAAGTCACCTGGGAGACAAATGAATAGAAATGCGGCGTGGCCAGCGGAAAAGGGCGGATACCAGCAGTGCAGGCACTGAACCTGGGAGACAAAAGTAAAGAAATCAAATGAATAGAAATGATGCATGGCCAGCGGAAAAAGGCGGACACCAGCAGTGCAGGCACCGAACCTGGGAGACAAAAGTCAAGAAGTCACATGGGAGAGAAGTGAATAGAAATGCTGCATGGCCAGCGGAAAAGGGCGGACACCAGCAGCGCAGGCACTGAACCTGGGAGACAAAAGTAAAGAAGTCACATGGGAGACAAATGAATAGAAATGCTGCATGGCCAGCGGAAAAGGGCGGACACCAGCAGTGACTGAACCTGGGAGACAAAAGTAAAGAAGTCACATGGGAGACAAATGAATAGAAATGCTGCATGGCCAGCGGAAAAGGGCGGACACCAGCAGTGACAGAAAGGGCGGACACGCCTTAAGAAATAGAATTCAGAACCCCTAACAGTAAACTGTTTGGGTGAAAATGGGGTCGTCGTCAAGCTCGACACTAGTTTCCGATGTGCCACCCCGCTGTCCTCCCTTCACTTCCAGCGACAGGCCTTCGCCATGTGCACCAAAAACTCTTGTCCTGTGACGTCGCCAGCGGCCCTGAGGTTTCTCTCCCACAGCCATTGATAATTGATACACACGACGTTGCAACGTTGCATTCATGCAACCAGTATATAGAAAAATCATGGAAAGCCGGTACTTGGAGTAATGGCAAAGGTTTCAGATCAAGTGGTTCGCAGCAGCGGAAGGTAGGTAAGTCAAGTGCACCCAGTCGTCTTGTGACTATAGGAGCTTTAGCGCCTTCCTCCAACTCAACCATGTTCTCTGATCTGATCCCTGGTCCCTGCTCTGAAGGCACAGCACTTAAGCTCACCTTTCTCTTGCGCTATAAGCTAGCCTGCCAGGTATACACCCCCGATGAACAGAACAATGAAATCGCAGTAATCAAATGTCTCTATGATCTTTTTAACTGCAGTGACAAAATCCTGCAAGGATGTGTGTGTGTCACACTCCGTCCCGAGGAGTTCTTGTTGTTTGATGCAGGGGGGCAGTGGACCGCTATCACTCACTGCCCAACGAAGACAGTGATAGTCCGGTCGTGAAATCCAGAAAGGACGCTTTCTGGACGTACTTGCGCTGAACACAATGACTCCACTGGTTCCCCTCCTCGTTGTCTTTTTGTTTCCATGGTTTTTGCATGCTATTTCCCAAAACCAGTTTTCCTTCAGCAGCTTTCTGCCCTTTGTAAGCCGCTTGCCTTTCCGCAGATGTGCGCAAACAGCATTTTCAACATTTCAAGTGAGCTGAATTTCTCGCCATTCCGTTCCCTCACCTTTTTTTCGTGGAACAGAGGTCACCGAAAACCCATTGTCTAAGTGTGTGCCGCTCTGTCGTCCCACTGGGTACAGAGTGTGATCCTCTCGCAAGAGAGTCGCCGAAGCCATCGTGAATCACATATCGACTCAGCGTTCTCTGCATACGTTGGATTGTCTATCTTTTGGGATTAACCCAATGAATCTCCTGCTACAACACTGCCGAGTTTACGGAGATTCGACACCGCCGGGTTCTACGGAGTTTCTTTCCAGAGCTTTCAAGGTTCGAGTAGCATGCAGCTGAACAGCCATCCGCATTTCACTTCTTTTCCGCTCACTGTTATCCAGTGGCTTCTTGCTTGGTGCCGATTCTTCGTGCTGCCGCCACCGCCTGCGCTACAACGGCGGATGCAGCAGCTGAGCCGCTGGTTAACCACTATGTCCAAAAAGGACACGCAGCAACCGACTGCAAACGGTTTTTGAGAACGCGGAAAAGATTTCCATCTCTTCTCCGAGCAGGGGCCGGTCGAGAAGAAGAGGCACGACGAGAAGATGGAATGCAGTTTGCGTTTCCGATAATCCGGATAGCCAGTACCTCGTTCTTAAAGAACTTGAGATGTATGTTTTTGTTTGAGTTTACTTGACTTCCTTGACTTTCAGGTTGCACTGTTTTAGAGACACGCCGCCCTTTAGAGAAGCAGGGAATCTATCCGAGCGAGAGCTGGAATGAGGCCAGGAGAAGTTTGAACTTGAAAGTGTCTGTTTACAGTTGCTGTGATAGGGGATCGCTACCCATAAAGAGTGACTGTGCAAGCTTTTGAGTTGTTTGCATGTTTGCAGTTGAGTAGGGCTAGAGCAATAGTTGCTTGAGTTGGACTTGGCTGTTGAGCATGTTTGTTTTGTAATTTTGCAGTTTTTGCATGTTTGCAGTTGGATACGACTAGAGCGACAGTAGCTTGAGTTGAATTTGGCTGTGAGACATGTGAAACAGTTGTGTTTTGTTTGGCTTGTTTTTCAGCTAAGTTTGAACTTGGAAGATCCTTGACAGTTTGATGTTTTGCTTGTAGTCATCTTGAGCAAGTTTGCTAGTTTGAGATTTGTTTTGTGCATTTTCTATTTAATTTGTGCAAGTTTGAACGTGTGAAACTATCTCACCTCAAGCTGCCTGTTTGCGATTTGTGACGCGCCACTTTTGAGTGTGATTTTCGACTTTTCCCGCACGAACTATGGCCACTGTCATTGCCGAGTCTCCGATGACCACGGGTGGTGCAGTTGCCCTAAGAGCACAAGGCTGTGGAAGCAGTTTTGTTTGAAGGCCGCGACCTTGGTTCATTGAGCCTTGATGAATTGGCCCAGTTCCACTTCAAGGAAACTGAGATTTCCGCGGATCTACTTGAGACCACGAGCATTAATACATTCCGGAATCAGGCCACAAGGTGGCACACGGCTGCCAGCAACCAAGAAAGCTATCTCCATTTGGTAAAGTCCCTGGTTGCCAAGTTGGAAGTGCATGAGAAAGCGGGACATGATCCAAATTTGTTGGTGCCAACCCTGCCTCTGAATGAGAGCCTGCTTGGATGCCGGGGAAGTCCCTGACAGACTTGAGAAATGAGGTCGGGATGATGGAAGCTCGTTTGCAGCACCTGAGGTCTGCTGCGGCCATGTTTGGCTGGGCATACTTTGAAAAGCAGATTTCCTTCCACAATAAGGAAGCATGGATGTGTCACGTGTCAGTTTGCGCCGCTATTACATTGTGATTTGCATGACAATGACATGTCGCGCAAGAAACGTGATGCATTTCGCTGCACAGGCGCAGCGTTTTGTGAGATCCGCAGTTTGCTGCGCAGTTCCATTGGGATTAGCGTTTGGAGAGTCGTGTCTTGGGGGTATTGGATGTGGCCGTGCCATTGGGATTTGCGTTTCAGGGTGTGGCGTCGAAGCTCGGTTTTCGTGACAAGTCTCAGCTGAAATGGCGATTTTGGTGGATGGGAGTGTGCTCAGAACGGATCGAAATCATTCCAAACGTGTGGTGTGGTGCAAATTTTTTGAAGCTCACATGAGATGATATGGTCACTTATCGTGGCAGGCGCAGTACTTTGTCCGGGTTTTGAGGTGTGGAAGTGCGATTTTCGTGGCAGGCGCAGGGAATCGTCAGGTTGTGGTAGAGGTGAATGTCGCTGTCACATTGGGATTGGCGTGTGAGCGGGTGTTGTTTGGAGGGGCTGGAATCGCGAAACTGCTTGGCAGGGCTGCGTGATGTGTGTGCTCCGATGGGTGTTTCCGCTTGGACGAGAAATCCACAGTATGGCGCCAAGATGCCCCTTATTGCGCTCTTGGCCAAAAGTGGTTCTCCGGAACCCACCGGCAATCGCAGCTGCACTTTTCCCGCAGCCGCGAAGAAGCCTTCCTCGATCACTTGGTGGGCAAGAGCAGCACTTTGCGACGGTTCGGAGACTTGGGAACTACGGGATGCCCACAGAAGACGAGACAATCAATGATGAGTTATTGGGGGGCGAACATTGAGAGGTTGCTTGAAGTTTGAGGAAGACGCTGCAAGAGGGGACAAACATCATGGTGAAATACTCCAACAACCGCCCTGCAAAAGCGGCCGGCAAGGAAGGGATCTCGGGCATCAGCCTGTCAGTGATCAGCTATATGGGCACGCAAGGCAAGTATCGCGCCCTCAACAAGCTTTTTAGCTGGGCCGATTTACCTGACATCGATGACCATGCTCCTGAAGAGGAGCCCACCAATGAAGGTTGGTGGCCTGTCCTGGAGATTCAGTTGGCTCCAGAGTGGTGGGGCGCACCCTCCCAAGGTTGTGATTGTCGTTTGCATTTATCAGATGCTTGAAGGGGCGCCACCGGCTTGGCCCCATTGGTCTCACACTTCATGAAGCACCAGACTCGAGTGGAGCGTGAGCGAGTTGGCGGGGGGCACCCCTAGTGGCGAATTTGGGCTTGGCATCCCTGCTTCCATGACTCTTGGCCACTCGTGTTTTTGATGGCGCAAAATGGAGCGGAGAGGAGAACAGACAGTTGGCTCATGCTCATCTTCACATGCATATGCCACTTCATGATGTGGTGAGGAGAAGTATGTTGGTGTATTCGTGTTTTGTCTTTGTGTTGGTGCTCTCAGCTGCTGGCTTTTTTGAGGCCAATACCAGCCGCTTGGGAAACTCTGTGGCAGAGTCGGAGGTGCAGGAAGTCTCGTACGAAACGCTCGTTTTGGAGACTTGACGTGTGACTTTTGGAGGAAGTCTCCTACGAAACGCTCGTTTTTGAGATTTGACGCGTGACTTTTGGAGGAAGTCTCGTACGAAGAGTGTCCCACAAGAGTGTCCCATAAGAGTGTCCCGTAAGAGTGTCCCACAAGAGTTTCCTACTAGAGTGTCCCACAAGTGTGTCCCACAAGAGTGTCCCACAAGAGTGTCCTACAAGAGTGTCCCACAAGAGTGTCCTACAGGAGTGTCCCACAAGAGTGTCCCACAAGAGTGTCCCGCAACAGTGTCCCACAAGAGTGTCTCACAAGAGTGTCCCTTAAGAGTGTCCCACAAGAGTGTCCCACAAGAGTGTCCTACAAGAGTGTCCCACAAGAGTTTCCTACAAGAGTGTCCCACAAGAGTATCACACAAGAGCGTCCTACAAAGTGTTCCACAAGAGTGTCCCGTGTGAGTGTCCCACAAGAGTGTCCCACAAGAGTGTCTCACAAGTGTGTCCTACAAGAGTGTCCCGTAAGAGTGTCTCACAAGAGTGTCCCACAAGAGTGTCCCGCAACCGTGTCCCACAAGAGTGTCTCACAAGAGTTAATGTCCCACAAGAGTGTCCTATAAGAGTGTCCCACAAGAGTGTCCCACAAGAGTGCCCTACAAGAGTGTCCCACAAGAGTGTCCTACAAGAGTGTCCCACAAGTGTCCTACAAGAGTGTCCCATAAGAGTTTCCTACAAGAGTGTCCCACAAGAGTGTCCCACAAGAGTTTCCTACAAGAGTGTCCCACAAGAGTGCCCTACAAGAGTGTCCCACAAGAGTGTCCCACAAGAGTGTCCCACAAGAGTGTCCCACAAGAGTGTCCTACAAGAGTGTCCCACAAGAGTGTCCCACAAGAGTGTCCCACAAGAGTGTCCTACAAGAGTGTCCCACAAGAGTGTCCCACAAGAGTGGCCCATATGAGTGTCCCACAGGAGTGTCCCACAAGAGTGTCCCGCAACAGTGTCCCGCGAGAGTGTCTCACAAGAGTGTCCCTTAAGAGTGTCCCACAAGAGTGTCCCGCAACAGTGTCCCACAAGAGTGTCCCATAAGAGTGTCCCGTAAGAGTGTCCACAAGAGTTTCCTACTAGAGTGTTCCAGAAGAGTGTCCCACAAGAGTGTCCTACAGTATCCCACAAGAGTTTCCTACAAGAGTGTCCCGCAAGGGTGTCCCACAAGAGTGTCCCACAAGAGTGTCCTACAAGAGTGTCCCACAAGAGTGTCCCGTATGAGTGTCCCGTATGAGTGTCCCACAAGAGTGTCCCACAAGAGTGTCTCACAAGAGTGTCCTACAAGAGTGCAAGAGTGTGCTGCAAGAGTGTCCCGTAAGAGTGTCCCACAAGAGTGTCCTACAAGAGTGTCCCACAAGAGTGTCCTACAAGAGTGTAACGTAAGAGTGTCCCACAAGAGTGTCCTACAAGTGTCCCACAAGAGTGACTCACAAGAGTGTCCCTTAAGAGTGTCCCACAAGAGTGTCCTATAAGAGTGTCCCACAAGAGTGTCCTACAAGAGTGTCCCACGAGAGTTTCCTACAAGAGTTGAGTGTCCTACAGGAGTGTCCCACAAGAGTGTCCCACAAGAGAGTGTCCTACAAGAGTGTCCCACAAGAGTGTCCCACAAGAGTGTTCTTTTAGAGTGTCCCACAAGAGTTTCCTACAAGAGTGTCCCGCAAGAGTGTCCCACAAGAGTGTCCCACAAGAGTGTCCTACAAGAGTGTCCCACAAGAGTGTCCCGTATGAGTGTCCCACAAGAGTGCCCCACAAGAGTGTCCCACAAGAGTGTCCCACGAGAGTGTCCTACAAGAGCGTCCTGTAAGAGTGACCCACCAGTTTGTCCTACAAGAGTGTCCTACAGGAGTGTCTCACAAGTGTGTCCCACAAGTGTGTCCGACAAGAGTGTCCCATAAGAGTGACCCACCAGAGTGTCCGACAAGAGTGTGCTACAAGAGTGTCCCGTAAGAGTGTCCCACAAGTGTCCTACAAGAGTGTCCGACAAGAGTGTCCTACAAGAGTGTCCCGTAAGAGTGTCCCACAAGAGTGTCCCATAAGAGTGTCCCGTAAGAGTGTCCCACAAGAGTTTCCTACTAGAGTGTCCCACAAGAGTGTCCCACAAGAGTGTCCCACAAGAGTGTCCCACAAGAGTGTCCCGTAAGAGTGTCCCACAAGAGTTTCCTACAAGAGTGACCCACAAGAGTGTCCCACAAGAGTGTCCTACAAGAGTGTCATTTGGACGTATGTAGCTTTTCGAACGTGTTTGCATTCAGGTTCGTGGGTTCCATCTTGTTTTTTCCATCTAGAGAAAGATCATACATGTAGAGTTGCCAACCATGTGTGTGGTCTACTCTTACAAGGTTTTGCCACACGCAAAGTCAACAGTCTAAATCGAGGCCGCGCAAGCATCACCAGGCCGGTCAGCAAGAGAAATGGTTTCCAAAAATCCGTCTGCACTTACAGAGTTCTCTGCACCGAACCCTTCGTCTCTGCACCGAATCCTTGGCCTCACCATCCCAGCTTGCTTAAAAAACTTGACACATACTAGACTTGACATGCGCGTTGACACTGTTCTGACGGCGTCAATTCTGCTACATGTTCTGACACAGAAGCTATCGTAAAGGCTGGAAATTGTTCTGGAATGTGTTCTGACGTCCTCGTTGGCATGCAGATCCCGCCACGAAGTCTGACATGTAATCCGACAAGTTGTCTGGCATGCACTTCTGACATGTGTTCTGGCAGCAAGCTGGCATGTGATCAGACATGCGTTGTGACAGATGGTCTGACTTGGCTGTGATGTACGTTCTGGCAAAACATTTGACATTCCTTCGGATATATCATTTGACCTTAACATGCTACATAAATCTCTTGATTTCCCATATAGCGGATGTTTTTCAAAAGGTGCATGATTGCAAGATGAAATGGCCGCTGTACCGGAAAAATTCCCAAAAGTGAATGATTGGTGGCTCTCACAACTGAACTACTTGCTATCCTCTAAAATAAACCTGTTAAAGTCAAATGTTTGCTAAAGTTGTTTCAGATCTACATAAAGTATATCTAACATTGTTCTTCTTGATATATCATTAAGACCTGACAACCATCAAGTTTAACATGTTTAACATGTCTGCCCAATATTTACAACCTGGTAACCAAAGTGTTCAAAAGACTGATATGATGCCAAAAGTACCAGAATGTTTTTTATCATCCAGTGAGATATTGTACCATTGATTTGTGAATGTCGTCTACGCTAAACTTGTCACATGTAAAGCCAGTTGGGTGATATTTGTTCCATGGTTTCCATTTAAAGGATTGCTTCACATATCCTTTTTAACATTCACTTGCAGTTTTTCAACATTTACATGTTTAAAAAAAATTGGTTTGTTATTTTCAATCTTCATTAAAAAACATATTTCATTTCGGGTTGGAGGCCGTGGGTAATGAACAATTCCAACCCAAATTAAGCTTCAGTCGAATGTTCCACTCATTAGCCTCTCGTTAGTTTAAGCTCATGTTTCATCATGCCAGTTAAAGGACTATTTGAATTTGTTTACCATCATCTTCATGTATAGAAATACCTTTTGGTCTTAATCACATTTCAGGACAATATACGCATCACCTTTTTCTCTCCATTCCAGACTGCACACTCTGCCGTGGATATCTCTCTCAAATGTGCTCTGAAGGTGGGTCAGAACCGTTCTTCGCGCCTGCTGCAAAATTGTCAAGATAATCCTGCCTTGAAGTAGAGCAAGCTGGGCAGGCAAACTCTGTGACACACGTTGGCTTGTGGCTGATATGTGAGCTTGAAAGCTCTGGAAAGAAACTCCGTAGAACCCGGTGGTGTCGAATCTCCGTAAACTCGGCAGTCACTCAAGTGTGAGCAGTGTGAGTGAGTGTGAGGAGTGTGAGTGTGAGGAGTGTGAGTGAGTGCGTGAGGGAGAGTGAGAGTGAATGTGGGTGAGAGTGAGAGTGTGAGGGAGCGAGAGAGTGAGAGCACAAAGTACTGCGCCTGCCACGAAATCTGCACTTCGAGGTTCACCAAGCGCTGCGCCTGCCACTAAATCTGCAAAAGCTTCCCCCAATGGCCTCGAATTTGAGACGCGACGACGACGACAAACGACGAGAGACGACGACAGACCGCAAGCCATGCAAACACAGCTCCAACCCCCAGACCCCCAACTATAAACAACGGGAACCCTTCGCTACGCATTCGGGAATCAATTCCAACACGCACTAAGAACGTGTTGCGGTTCTTTGGAACTGCTTGGTGTTCTGTAAACTTTGGGATGATCGTGCTACCTCACTTGGTGCCGTGCCCAAAAACCTCAAGAACAGGCTTATGATGAGCTCGAGATGAACGTCACCGGGGCGGACTTGGACCCCTACACGCAGGGGCACCTGGAAGGGCGGGGATTCTTCACACACCTGTTTTTTCGTCGACAGATAGGGTATGCGACCACTGTAGCACTTTAATCATAAACCAACTGAGTTCTTAACCGATGTTTGTTGCGTTGCCGTTTGATCTCCCAAAGTTGGTCCATTTGTTAAAATTGGTCCAGGTGTTATTTTGAAATTGGTAGGTGACACTATATTGTATATATTGTCGTCATTGTGTTCATCACATCAGTTTTGGGAAGGGTTTGACTGAACGTGTTTTTTTGTTTTGTTCAGTATGATCGCTATGTCAAAATAAAGTGGTTGTTCTCTCTGACGTTGTTTTTGTTGCACTGGGTTAGTATTTTGTCACTATTTTTTGCCTCTCGCCAGCACGAGACTGTGCATGGAAATTGTTCCGGTGGTGTTGGTGACAGCGCCATGCTGATGCCTTCACTTCAGACTGTTTCAACTTAGTCAGTGGGTTCTTGTTGAGGCCACACATCCCCGGGAGACCGCCATTGGTCATCACTTAACAAAAAGGCTGAACCACTCCGCGTGATGAAACACGCTGACCGGCTGACCGATTCTGAGGGGTTGAACTCCAGAAAGGGGGGTCCGAGTGCGTGGGCACCACCCGACGTCCGGTTGTGGATCTCTCTAGATAGACCCGACTGGAGTGGAGTTCCGTACCGAAACGAAAGGTTTGGGACAAGCCCAGACGCTCCAAACAGCCCAACTGGTCCCTCAACACCTAGGGCCTAGGGAATTGAGACCCCAGACCCCTCCAGAGGATTCGGGTCCGACCCCTCGATATGAGGGCCCAGGGTCGCGTCTGGGAGGATCAAAAAACAAATCATGTACGACTGGGGCCCCGGCTCTGAGGTTCGTGGAACCGGGTCGACTCACTCGTTGCGTCATGGGGTCTCAAAGCTGTACACCTCAAAATCTGGTTGAACAGAGGTAGAAGGATGCAGTGTGCAAGTCATCCAAAGATTGCCAAGTCTTCGCCGAGGTCCACTCTTAAAATGATCAGACTCAAGTAGGAACTGAAGGCACCAATTAGACAACAGGTCATACACGGGCCGACCGAACCAGGAACTGCATTTAAGGATTGAAAGGCAACATCATTACCGAAAGCGCTGGTTATCTTTTCATGTGTTTTTTTGTGTTTCCGAATTAGCTACCCAGTCCCAACAACTGGGTATAGCTACAGCAGCTACACCTCTATCCTTACTCAACGACTTCCTAACATGTCTACAGAACATCCTGTATCATTTGGTAGAAGTTCCATTTGCACCCGAATGGTTGGACCCGAGCTCCGCTTCGCGAAGCAGTTGCCAGGGACAATGCCGCGCAGTATGCTGTGGATGCTGCTTGGCAGCGCCGCAAAAGAACATGGTTTGTATAGAATAGATGTTGGGCCTAGCAAGCCTGTACAGGTAATAGGATAGACCCAATATAGATGTTAGGAGATGAAAGTTGCCCTCGAAGCATCAAAGAGTCTCAAAGGCTTGCTTCCAGATTCCATATGTTCTTTTTTGGGGGGGGTGTAGCCCGGGGTGTAGGGAAAGCAAAAACTACACAAGTTGAGTGCTGCTCTCAACAAATACTGACCATTCCTTCGGTTTTGAAGGGAGGTTCATTCTCAGCATTGATCGAAGCGTATCAAAGCTTGTACTGATACTTTCTGTGTGCCTGATGGAAATGTGGGGGGTCAGAGTTGCAAGCACCCGTTTCCAGCCCATGCACGGACAACCACGCGTTGGTTTGTATTCCTTGAAGCAAGAAGAGCCGGTCAAACAACCATACCGACCTTAGACCCTTGACATTGAGGCATGTCGACGTCCTTCTTTGAGGTATAGGCCAGGCAGTTTTCAAGGATGTCGACTAGTCCCGCACATGTAGACGGTTAACATGAATAACACAACCATATAGAGATGTAACAACCATTCCGATAAGGATAGTTGTTTCATGTGTGTTTTTTCATGTTTGTTCATTTTACAGTCTTCACTATTAGCCCTAGCCTTCCAACCACCATTGATTCAGTATTCTGAATCCTGAACAATCAATCATTGGTACAAATGTTAGATTGCGAAACCAGCTCAACCATTCTAAACATAGTCGTGGAAGGCCAGGGTTTGGGTCTTGGCACCTACATGTACCTACCACATACCGCCTGGATCCGTCCGAGTTCGCTGCTTCGATAGGCCAAAGAAGCTGCATTCAAGGCAACTCGTCCGGGAAGCCCAGCTGGGTCGGAGCCCGGCGGCAGTGGGTCGGAGCCCGGCGCGGCAGGGACAGGAAGAGCTGAGTGAACCCATCTTGAGGTTCAGTGGGCACGGGAGACAACCCCAATGGCACCCGCCCCTGGCCCACCGAACCGAAACGGAGGTGGTTGGAGGGTATAGACGCTGGGAGTGACTGTACAAAGAAGGATTTCGGGGAATTTCCTTCTACTTTGTAAGGTGGTTGTCGGGTGGGTGTGTTTGGGGGGGTGTTGTCCTGAGGAGGTGCGGCAGGAGCCCTTTGAAGGCCTTGAATTTATGCTTCTTGGTAGGCCTGGGCTCCCAAACTTGGCATTGCTTGGTCTTTTTCGTTCATTCTGGTCATGGGCCCGCCTATATACTGACGACTTGACAGGGCTTCCAATCAAGTCTCAACACTGAATACACAGCTCACACGCCACTCAATACTCAACCAAGACAGGATAACTGCAAGTCTGCCAACACAAGCACGCAAGGCCGGAGCATGACACAGCCAACGCCGTGAAGCATTGTTGGATGGTGCTGTGGATGGAGCCATGCTTGACTATGCTGCGGTGTCAGCCGAAACATATCTACGTAGAGCGCTCAAGAAGTTCACAGACGTGAACAGCGCAATACGGGCAGATCTACCGGAGGAGGCACGTGTCCAACAACTGAATGACCTGCAGCGTGAGCTCATAGACGGGGGAGACATGGTGACAAAGCAGTTGCAGCCAGACCAATTGCTAGCCCATGGTCTGTTTGTGAGTGTGGACAAGACACAGGGCAAGATCAAACCCACTTGGCCATTGCCTCATCTCCAGGAGAAATGCTTTGAGCAGTACAATGTGCTGCTGCGACATAAGCCCAACCAACCTGTGCAGAGTGCAGCGCCAATCTTGACACTATTCACCATGCCGATGACGAGACTCGCATTTACATTGTTGGCACTGGCGATGGATCAAAGGATGCACTTGTCATTCACACCCGGCACAAGGGTTGATGAAATGTACCGCGCAGTCTTCACCGACATGGAGGATGGACGTGGAGCAGGTATGGTACGAGCTGGACCTGGAGCAGGCGGATGCAACACACAACTACGGCGATTTTGTGTTCATAGCCAGCATACTCACGCACGCAATGCCAAACGCACAGCCACTCGTGCGGGTACTGCTTGGCGCTATTGCTGCCATTGAGCAACATTGGCGCTCATTGTCGTTGTTCACAGGCCAAGCAACTGAACATTGGAGCTCACTGCCAAGCGGCATATCATGGACCTACATAAAGAACACCTTGAAGGTTCTCAGAGGCGTAGTTCGCATGTTCTCGAAGGTACGCAGAGCAATACTTGGCGGCGATGACAGTGCAGTTGCACCAGAAACAGATGTGTATCCGGACTGGCCTGCAACCCGTACACTAGGTACAATGATTACACTTGAAGCCAAACGCACTGGCTTCTTTTCTTTTCATGCCAGCCTCCACTCACCAACGATGAGCACGCCAGACCTGTTCAAGCTGGCGCTGAAGTTGCTTGATCGTAGATATGTGAAGGCGGATGAACAACTGCTGAAGGAGATTCAGGAGTATCAAAACTCAATCAAAGATCAGCTGAAGATCATCGAATCGCCCGCAAAGTACATCGAACTGTGGCACTTAGTTCAAAAAACTATAAATTTGAGATAAAATGTTGATGAATTATCGATGCACTTTTGATGTACTTTTGATGTACTTTTAAAAGTACATCAGAAGTGCATCACAAATTCATGCAGGTTTTTGGCAGATTTTATGAAAAGCTATGATGTTCTGCAGCATCTTGTCAGCATAAACATACCTAGCAGTCTTGTGGGCTTATCCTTTACCTGAGAATGTAATGCTCTTGCACAAAGAGTTGATCTGCATTGTATGTTGTTCAAATTGAAGTTGTTGAGAGTTTGCTGCAAAGCTGGCTTATTGGTTGTTGTTTACTTTTGCAGCTAGATTGATCTCAAAGAGCGATTTGAAAGATAGGTGCAGTAGCTTGTTGGCATGGCAGACGAAGAAATTCCTATGGGCCAAGTCACACCTGAAGAGAAGGAAGAGGTTGAGCAAAAAACACCCAGTACACCTGTGAAGAAGAAACCTGCTGCCAAAGCAAAGAGCCCAAAAGCAAAGAGCCCTAAAGGAAAGAGTCCCAAAGCAAAAGCAAAAGGAAAGGGCAAACCAGAGTCAAAGGCAAAGGCCAACTCTTTGAAAAGGCCTGCTGCAAGTGGAGAGACCGAACAGCCAAAGAAGAAACCAGCAGCTCATGGCTGGGCAGAAGGGTTGCAGGAGGATAAGGGACCATCAGAGAATCAGAGAATGCTCTTCTTCCTACAGTCAAGAAAAGTCTATATCCTCAAGTAAATTTCGTCCCTCAAGTAGACACACTCAAGTAAAAAGGTTTTGTTCAAGTCAAGAAGGGTACACATGCTCAAGTAAATGCAATCTCTTCAAGTAAACGCGAAGTCAACACCTCCTGGCATGCGCAGTCAACAGAAACAAAAATCCATAGCGCAAATATCCTCAAGTACATGTTGTCCTGTAGAAAACCTGCCTCTTTGGACAAAGCCAACTCATATAAATTGAGACATTTTCTGCTTCAAAATCATGCTCACAAAAATTTGCTATTAACCTAAAAATTACTCATAACCTAAATTGGATTTACTCATAAACTAAATTGGACTTACTATTACATGTATGTAATTTTTTTTAACTAAACTTTCCTTAGTCAAACCAAAAATGTACGTAAATGTATGGTTAGTAAAATTACTAATTTGGGTGACTTAGGGCAACACACACGCACACGGAAACGCCCTGTTTTGCTTGACCTCGGGTCGATCCGAGTCGGGACGTCCATGGATCGAGCTCAGGTGCGGCCAAAGAAGCTTTTGTTCGTGAAGCGGGATTGGGAGGCGGGCGGGCGACATGTCGCCTAGCGGGCGTGCGGGCGTGGCGGTTTGGTGTGGCGGGGACGGTTTTGTGGGCTGGTCCACCTGGCCTCCTCTTGGTGTGGCCGGTCCAGTGGCGGCTACAAGGATGAAAGCTAGGTTGGCTGGTGCAGAACATCCATGATTGCTATGTTTTGTCAAGGAACACATGAAAAAGGACCCTCAAGATCTTGCACATCAGTGTGCATTGTGTTTTGAACACTTGGTGCGTGATGATTTGGTTCCCGCGACATGAATTATAAGTATAGTACTGTATCGCCGTCGTTTCGCTTGATTCCACATCAAAGCGATGTCACCCACCGTTCGACACGGGGCTAAGCCGCTAAGTGATTCGCCGACCTTCACCTCTTTATGTTGGAGGGAGGAGCCGGCTTGCAGGGCTTACAAGACACAGTCAGACACGGTCTCCGGGGCGAAGTTCCGTTCGGGGTTGGAGGGTCGGGGGGGGCCTCAGGATCCACTTACAGGCCTACTGTACAGTCAACAAGAAGGTAACACACACTTGAAACTGTGGCATCTGGAAGCAAGGCCATGGGTTCATGTTTGGGACATGTTTCGCATCTTGGAACCTGTTTTGCCATTGGGTTTTCTGTTTCGAACGGTCTTTGGGCCCCAACCCCCTGGTCTCTGGGCCCGTCCCGTCTCCATGCCGTGCCCGTTCTCTTCGAGTACCACCGGTGAGGTGTTCCGGCGAAGGTGGATGAGGCCTGGAAGGCCGCCATGCAGGCGCGATGGAGCCAGCCAGATGCTGGAGCCAATCGCCTTCAGTACTGACGGTATAGGGTGCCTGGGGAAGAAAGCAAAGCATTTGGCGAAGGGAAAGCAAGCCGCAGGCTGAGCGTCCGTGTTCGGGAGAGCTACTTGCCGTTTTGGTGGCACAAGGTAAAGATTACTGGGAGAATGAAGTGAGGTCGAGCACTTTGGGTTGAGGCGTTAACAGCTGTTTCAGAGGCAAAGAGATCGCCGTGTTTTGATTGAATTGCAATCAATTCCAAAAAACGGTTACCACTACCACCGAATTCTGTCGAGAAAAGGTCCGGCTGTCCAGAGTGCGGTGCCGGAACAGCTCTCCATTTGGAACCTCATCCCCAAGCCCATGGGCTCCCCTTTTTCAAACATCAACCTTCAACCCCTTGTGATTTGACGAGATTGGGTGAATTTCAATCAGTGGAAGCTGATGGAAGACCAGGTTTTGCTCATAAAGGTGTAACCTTCAACCCCTTGTGATTGACGAGTTTGGGTGGATTTCAACCAGTGGAAGCTGATGGAAGACCAGGTTTTGCTTATAAAGGTGTTGTTTTACTTGTTGGTACATGGGTAAACCCCCAAACCAGAGCAATATGTTTGTTGTGTTGTTTTTTCCCTGGCTTCCGAAACGCAGCCAAGAACCTGGATCCTATAGCTCAGAAAAAGATAGCACAGAACCCTGTAGTATACCTTTTTGTTTCTAACATGGGGTCATGTCATGTCCACCCTAACAACAAAACAGGTCATGTCCCCCCAACAACCAAACACCGTACCTTGAGGTTCCTTGAAACGTCGGGTCCCCAAGATGCAGTCCGGTGCCGACCCTCCAAACCCGAGTCGAGTCGGACGTCGCCGTTCGGAGGCGGTGCGGATGGCACATGCTCAACGCTTGGTGGCCCCTTGATTCAGTGAAGGAGCTTGGTCGTTGGAAGTAGTGGCCTTGGCCGTTGGAGTGGTGTTTTCGTCGATGTACATCTTGTACTACTACTACTACTACTACTACTACTACTACTACTACTACTACTA